AGAAAGTGATAACTGGTGATAGGAGCTGATAAGGAGCGTTGGAAGGCAAATGTCACTGAAGTTCTTGTCCAGATGTGGGATAAGAAAACATCTCATTTCTTCGCGATGAAGTCGTGATCCATTCGACCGCTAATCTCTACCCGAGCTTCTTAAATGGTTGGGTGAAAATGCGATAACTTCTGATATTTTATCTCATTACCGGCATAGGAATAATCCGACCGCTCAACCATCCCAATATCCAAAGATGTTACGCTGAGGGCTGATAATAAGCAGCCCAAGTAATTGTATTAGTTATCCAAAGGTCATTCGGCTGCTAGACTTTGTTAGTTCCAGAAAAATGATGGATGTTTATTGGTATTGACGAACTATGAGAAATTACTGCTTTATCATCTGATTTCCTTAATACCATCAGTCAGTCAAATCCATTGAAAGCAGTATGTTACTCAATACAATAGCCCGGCTACTATACTCAGTTTCACTGAAGCCTATGTTGACATGCGCGCGATAGCGGGCGGAGCAAAACTGGTTGCATCGATAAACACGAAACCCACGGCGACAAGGTCCAGATCATCATCGTCTCCCCCAGAATAAAGATTCTCTCCGACTGGCCAGCCAGAATGGACGATTTCACATTTCGCTACCTTGGCCCACTTAAGAGCCGATCTCTCCAGCGAGCAGTTGTACTTCTGAAAAGTGCGAGACAAAAACATGGAATCTTGATGTCTTGCTTGCTTGAACCCAATCAAGCCCTCACCAACTGGTACATTCGTTTTGCAGGCGGTAGTCTTGGCAATCCTCCCTCTTTGGGTGAAGGCATATCGTAGTTTCCTTTCGCCACTACCGATCGCGCTTCGTTGTGATGGCGTAGAATTGCTTGTCGCACTTTATCGGTTATTACATCGGTACAGCCGCTTTCCGTAAGATCGTCGGAATCGGAAGACGGCTTGATGAATAGCGCTGGAATGTGCTATTAGATGAAACGGTCACAGAATCTGGGAAAATAAGGGAGAGGATTCGAAGGGGCAAACAAGTGGCATAAATGTTTGTCAAGTTCAGCTTTGTATAGGATAGCCCAAAAATACAAAGCGAAAAAAAAACGGACCAATCGGGCTACTTTTTGCCAAGTCCAATTTTGGAAGGAGTTCAAGTATTCTTTGCCAAGCTCTGACCTTCCGGTTTTTCACAGAGGATTGAGCAATGTAAAATGTTCAATTTGAAGAAAGTCATGGCAGTTCAAAGCCAAAAAAAACCAGCGCGCTGCCGAAATCAGAGTGCAAATCCTCCAAAACGGACCGACGGAGCGATTTTTTGAATTCGTCAATTTTGAAGTGAGCTCTAGTGCTCTTTGCGAAAATACCTCGATACATTTCAAAGTCAGCAGCTCAAAAAGTGACCCAATTGATCCGCTTTTTTCTTCCCCTTCAATTTTTGGGCTCTTCTTCTGAAAATCCTTGTTTTCTAACTTCAAATGATTACAGCTTCCATACGAAAATTGTTTACGTGGAAAATGTTTAACAGATTGGAAAACTAATCGAGTGAGTTTCATTGCTCTCATTAAAGGGCACTGAACTTTCCCTGAGAGGTGAAGGAATCAAAATTTTTTAGCTCAAAGTTTTTTCTAGGCCTTGAAAAGTAACTCAAAAGCCAAAGTTCAGTCCGTTTATGTGTTTTGCTTATAGTATGGCTCTAACAAAACACCTGGCTTCCTGTAGCGCCTATATTCGTGCCCTGTGGAAAACTAATACAAAGGACCCGATTTTGCCTGAACTAGCTCTCTCTTCTGAGAGCGACACTGGACTCGTTTTCGTTAACGTTGCACCATATTACGAAGTTACCCCGGCATTTTCTTGTCGAAGATTGGGGCTTTGCTCGACGAACAGCGTTGTTACGCAAAGCGCAGCACGTGTCACTCTTTGGGACAAGGCGAGGAGCAAGCGCAAGACGCCCCAACCAGAGTCAACCCTGCGTTGCGCAGTTCGCAACGGCACGTTGAGAGATCCTCAACGCACGCTGTATGGGCGGAGACGCAGACGGCTCGAGCATGCGAGTGTGAATGTTCGCGCGAGAGAACGTGTCTAATCGGGCGAAACTGCGCAACGTGGCCGTTGAGAACTGCGCAACGCAGGGTTGACTCTGCCCCCACACCCATTGATGCCCGCCTAAGGCTAGTATTGTTTCTGCTTGGGCACCCATACGCTTTTCGGCCTCGACGGTTTTTCTTGTTTTCCATTGTTGGCGTTACACACTCCACATGTCATTTGCTGGAGCAAATAATACTTGGGATGGTAAGAAAGTCCTGAGCCGATTTTTCGAAAGCTCCAGAACTTTCGCTTATTGATCGATACCTAGAATCTGCTACGTGATAGATTATCGCTGTCGATCATACTTCTCCGCAGTAGGTATATATTAGCCGGGTTGCCTTCTTTAACTTTAATCATGATGTCGATTCCACAAGAGCACCTTCGAGCGATCATCTTCAATGAATGGCGCTGCGGCACAGGAGCAGTGGAAACCGTCAACATTACCTAGGCAGTGACTCTAGGATGGCAAGCACTTTGCTGCGCACCAGTGGCCTAAACTCTGTTCGGCCAGATCAGAGAAGGAGAAACCGGCTTCCGAAAACTCAGTCAATCGGTGGAAAGCTCAAACAAAGGGAAGACCGTTTCTCGTGCCGCGTCGACCTAACGAATCCGTAGGTTAGCACCCGCAGTTGCCTTGTGATAAGACTCTGGTCACCCAACCCACCCGTCCTTCGGTTCGCCTCCTGTCGCGTCTGCTGCAGGAAAGTGCTGACTCGATGGATTCCTCTTGTCTTGACCGATAGCACGCGGTTCAGGCGGGTACCCATTTGTCAGTTTCTCCTTCTTTGTCCGCACCGAAAGGAGGTTTTTGGAAGGCGTGATTACGAGAGATGAGAGTGGGGTCCTCTACGATTCTAACAAGCACGGTGCCGTGTGGCTCCCTCGAAGAGAGGGCCTGCCGACACAAGCAAAATCGGACCTTCACCCCAAAAGCTGTCTTCTTTGCTACCTCTGGGATTCGTGAGGAATGTTGTATTATGAGATGCTCCCGCAAGGACATACCGCTACCGGCAGCATTTACGCCAGTCAGCTCCAGAAACTAGCGGACGCTGTTCAAGAAAAACGACCGAGATGACGGCTCAACTCTGTACATACCTACACCTACGAATGACGCGCAGCCCACTATAGCTTAAGAGACCCGGTCAAATTGAGTATCTGACCTGGTTACCCCACCCATCCTATTCCCCTGACATTGCCCTCTCTGATTATCACTTATTTCATCCCCTTTAAGGCATTCCTAGCGAAGAAAAAATTCACCAAAGTTGAAGACGTTGAAAGAGCGGTCAGCGATTTCTTTGACTCTCAGTCTGCTCAGTTCTGGGAGAAGGAGAGGGTGGTGTCATGAACTCCACGTTCATGAAGTCAGGGTCTGACCTGCCCATTAGGTGGGACTCTGTAGTGAGTAAAGTGGTGATTATATTGTTTGAGTAAATTCCATTGTACGCGGAATAAAAAAGTAAAGCACAAAAAAGTGTCAAACGGCTCAGGACTTTTACCATCCTAACAAATCAGATGATGCCGAATCCCGAACCTTGCCCTGTGAACCCAAGCCTGGAGCTGAGAGCTTTAATCGCGTCTCTCTAACATTTCGACATTTCCGTTGGCAGTTTCAAGCCAGTCACGTTTTCAGCAACATTCAGTGACCCCTTACAGTGCTAAGCAATTTCTGGACTCCATAAATATCTTCCGACGCATTGCGACGTTGACGCCCTGCGCATGCGATACCGCCTTCTAGTCGAATACGCCGCCCTTCAGACTAACGGGCGGTTGACGCTTATCTCCTTGCTTACGTTTCTAAAAAGTGCAGCGTAATGCTGACCGTGCTCCCATGGAACAAGGTGGCGTAGCAAAACCGCTATTCCCAAACGTGGTTTCCAAATGGTCAATTCACACCTTGGAGAACCCCTTGATTTTGCCACTCACAAAAGACGTCGTGGCAAACAAGCAACCACCTACAGTATAACTGGGCAGTTGCGAACGATAGGAGCAGGGTAGCGAAGTGAGGCTGATTCCTGGTTCTTCTCCTCTGCTCCGTTGATGGGACGTTTGGTTTTTCTTTGGTTTTTGTGTGAGGTACCCGACAGTTCTACACATCTCTGGAATGCTCTGGACCAAATCTGAGGAAAAACCACAGGTTTGGATCAATAATTGCGTCGCTTAGTTCATCACCGCGCTTCCGTAGCGCAGTCGGCAGCGCGTCAGTCTCATAATCTGAAGGTCGTGAGTTCGAGCCTCACCGGGAGCAACTGTTTTGCCAAGCGTGGCTGCTCACGATTGAGGTACCTCGACAGTTCTACACATCTCTGGAATGCTCTGGACCAAATCTGAGGAAAAACCACAGGTTTGGATCAATAATTGCGTCGCTTAGTTCATCACCGCGCTTCCGTAGCGCAGTCGGCAGCGCGTCAGTCTCATAATCTGAAGGTCGTGAGTTCGAGCCTCACCGGGAGCAACTGTTTTGCCAAGCGTGGCTGCTCACTACCAAGGGACCCCGAGAGTCCTACACATCTCTGGAATGCTCTGGACCAAATCTGAGGAAAAACCATAGGTTTGGATCAATAATTGCGTCGCTTAGTTCATCACCGCGCTTCCGTAGCGCAGTCGGCAGCGCGTCAGTCTCATAATCTGAAGGTCGTGAGTTCGAGCCTCACCGGGAGCAACTGTTTTGCCAAGCGTGGCTGCTCTCACCAAGGGACCCCGAGAGTCCTACACATCTCTGGAATGCTCTGGACCAAATCTGAGGAAAAACCATAGGTTTGGATCAATAATTGCGTCGCTTAGTTCATCACCCGCGCTTCCGTAGCGCAGTGGGCAGCGCGTCGCTCAAATGAAGGTCGTGAGTTCGAGCCTCACCGGGAGCAACTGTTTTGCCAAGCGTGGCTGCTCACTACCAAGGACCCCGACAGTCCTACACATCTCTGGAATGCTCTGGACCAAATCTGAGGAAAAACCACAGGTTTGGATCAATAATTGCGTCGCTTAGTTCATCACCGCGCTTCCGTAGCGCAGTCGGCAGCGCGTCAGTCTCATAATCTGAAGGTCGTGAGTTCGAGCCTCACCGGGAGCAACTGTTTTGCCAAGCGTGGCTGCTCACTACCAAGGGACCCCGAGAGTCCTACACATCTCTGGAATGCTCTGGACCAAATCTGAGGAAAAACCACAGGTTTGGATCAATAATTGCGTCGCTTAGTTCATCACCGCGCTTCCGTAGCGCAGTCGGCAGCGCGTCAGTCTCATAATCTGAAGGTCGTGAGTTCGAGCCTCACCGGGAGCAACTGTTTTGCCAAGCGTGGCTGCTCACGATTGAGGTACCTCGACAGTTCTACACATCTCTGGAATGCTCTGGACCCAAATCTGAGGAAAAACCACAGGTTTGGATCAATAATTGCGTCGCTTAGTTCATCACCGCGCTTCCGTAGCGCAGTCGGCAGCGCGTCAGTCTCATAATCTGAAGGTCGTGAGTTCGAGCCTCACCGGGAGCAACTGTTTTGCCAAGCGTGGCTGCTCACTACCAAGGGACCCCGAGAGTCCTACACATCTCTGGAATGCTCTGGACCAAATCTGAGGAAAAACCATAGGTTTGGATCAATAATTGCGTCGCTTAGTTCATCACCGCGCTTCCGTAGCGCAGTCGGCAGCGCGTCAGTCTCATAATCTGAAGGTCGTGAGTTCGAGCCTCACCGGGAGCAACTGTTTTGCCAAGCGTGGCTGCTCACGATTGAGGTACCTCGACAGTTCTACACATCTCTGGAATGCTCTGGACCAAATCTGAGGAAAAACCACAGGTTTGGATCAATAATTGCGTCGCTTAGTTCATCACCGCGCTTCCGTAGCGCAGTCGGCAGCGCGTCAGTCTCATAATCTGAAGGTCGTG